TAAATCTAGAATGATAGTGTTTTGGTGTAAACTAATTACAGATGAAAATAAATTGTCTAGTATAATGTACAAGCTTATGCTGAATTTACATGAAAATGATTTCGCTGATTTTAAATGGATTTCATATATCAAGAATCTATTCAATTGTACGGGACTAAGTTACTTGCACTATGAATACAAATCACCTTAGGGTTAGTTTTAAAACTAGTCTGTATGACCAACTTATACAACAATGGTATTCTGATATTGAAAGTTCTTCCCGGGGTCAAACATATGCAATATTTAAACATCAATTTCAGTTTGAAAAACACTTAACTATGCTCAAACGAAAAGATAGAATAACTATCTGTAAGTTCAGAACCAGTTATATATCTCTGCCAATAGAGACTGGGCGATGGACTAGAACACCACATGAAAGCAGAATCTGTCCGCTTTGTTTTACTGGAGTTGGAAGCGAGTATCATTATTTGTTTATATGTTCAAATGTTATGTAAGTCAAATCCGCAGAAAATATATACCTATTTATTATACCTCTAATCGATCTGTTCACAAAATGAAAGGATTGATATCAATATGCAATGTTAGAATATTATCAAATCTATCGCTGTTCATACAATTACAAGAAAAACAACTAAAAACTAATATGTGAATTTCACACATCAAACTGTTAACTTGTGTATGCATGTAGATATTACTGATCATTTTGTTAAACCTAACATAATTGTATTGTATAATAAGTGTGGTTACAGCTTGTTTATTATGGTTTGTTTGTTATATCCCTGATTGAAGGTATTTGTATCCGTCTATTACAGTATTGTATGATGGGATTGTAACACTGTCTATTATACCTTTGTAATAGTATATGGTATGGTGAGTATGATAATGACTATTATGCCATGGTATGATTGCATTGTATGGTGTGGTATACTATCTATACCACTGTGTGAACGCACGGTATGTGTGAATGTAATGCTATGTATTATACCATTGTAATAATATTGTAAAATGAGTGTAATAATGTATATCACAGTGTATGATGAGTGTCATTGTATGAGCAGTGCGTTATATTGTATATTATTAATAAGGTATGATAGTACGTATGAACAGTGTAATATTGTGTTTATCAGTGTATGAGGAGTGTAATAGTTTCCACTATATTATTGTACGCTAGCATAGTAAGATGAGTGCTTTACGGTCAACCATATCATTGTTATAGTGTACTTTATGATGACCTCTTGTTGCGTACAATAGTGTGCCTGAGTGATAATAAAAATCTCTGAAAATCTCTATATTGAATAAAACTTTTCTTCCGATTTGATTCCTAATTCTTGGAAAAAATGCTCATGTTACACCCGCCTAAAAGGACAAATATGGTAGAAGTAATTCCTCTAACTACATGCCCATATCAGTTACTCCTATTTTAGCGAAATTCTTGAAAATGTTGTTTTCAATTATATGTTTAATTATCTCTCGAGACCTATTATTATTTTTAAGAATCAGTAAGGATTTTTGCCTTGTGATTCAAATGTCTACCAATTATTAATTGTATATGATGAAATAGTTCAACATTTAGACAAAGGCAACGAAACTAAGATGATCTTTCTGCGATATGAGTAAGGTCTTTGATAGGGGTTGGCACCATGGCCCGATTTTTAATTTAAAAAGTATGGAGTAAGCGATACAAAGCTTACTAGAAAATCTAAGACGCAGGGGGACCACAAGGGCTTGCTTTAGGGCCATACCTATTCTATACACTAATGATAATCAATATTAGTGAAGCACGTGACACGTGTGTATATGATTTTATCGAGGAAAACAGGCAATTTGCTGCTTAAAATGTCTATAGGCAAATCAATGGGGAATTATTTTGAATCCGGCGAAAACAGAGACTTTTCTCTTCTCAAGACTGGTTGATTCTGAGACGTCGCATTCTAACTAATTTTGATAACCACGCTATTGATAACGTTGCTTACCATAAACACTTAAATTTGATTTTAAAAGGTCTAATCATGCAAATTATAACTATTACAAAGCTTACAATTATTTTTTAGCATTGAATCGTTTCTGGCACAACTGAAAGGCAGAGATTCCGGAATAGACGCATTGTTGTAAAAGATTATGCTGACGTTACATTCAATATGATCTATTTGAATTAACTTTGGGATTGAGTCAAAAAGACGACACCGCTTCCTATTCATCAGTCACTTTTGCTGCAAACTTATTTATCATGTAAGGAATGTGTTAAGGAATTAACCAATACACAATTTGAATAAATGTGCAAATTACGAGTAAACAAAATCAACACGCGTCACACGTCAACGGTAGACACGCTCGGATATACAAAAAGAAGTGTGCGACAAACACAGCGTGCAAACTAGGCTATAAAATGATCTTACCCTTGCTGTTCAGCTAACAAAAAGAATGAGTTTGCTATAAATATAATTTATCTTCTCTTCGAAAAGTTTTTAAACAGATTTATTACCAATGATAGCACTAGTCGTGTTAGAGATATGTGTAGACCTTTGATACTTCAGGTATAGATATAACACAATCTATGACTCATGTAGCACTTGTTATGATGTTTTGTATTAGACCATTAATTTAAATGATATTTACTTATTTAAGGTTTCCGTTCGACATTATGTTTCATATTGTGTCGTTGAAAAAAGAAATATCACTAAAGCACTGCGGCGCCGAACACTAAATGAAGTCGGTTATTGGCGGCAAGACTAGTCCAGACAACAGACAAATAAAAAAAACAGAACTTTTACGAAAAAAATCATGCATATGAATGTTATTTGTGTTGAAGGTCATGTAGATCTGTGAGGTAAAATAACGTCAAGTCTGCAAATTATATGCAAATGTATTCAGAAACATTGTTAAGCACCCGTGTTGCTATTCACTTTCAGAAATATCGACGATGTGCTGTATTTTAAGCATAACATTGTTTTGACCGCGCCTATCAAATAATAAACCCTCGTGAAATTAAAATCAATGACAATTCCGTCTTTGCGTATTGCAGAGGTATTTTCTCTTGGGAGAAGGTATTGATTGTTACGTCACTTGTTTGTGGGAGTAACGTCATCAATTTTTGAGAAAACGACGTAATTTTCCCACACAAACCAATGACGTAACAATCAATACCTGCTCCCAAGAGAAGATAACTCTGCAATACGCAAAGACGGAATATAGAGTCTTCTACATCGGCAGCTTTCTTTGATCGTTACTTATATTATGACCATAGTCCGGGACGGCTTGCTAAAAACCTTGTATTACATTCGGTATTTAGGAGATTGTTCGTATATCATAACTTGATTTCAATAAAGGATATGTGGTGTTTGGCGAGTGAGTGTGCGCTTTTTGCCCTCAGTAATCGGCTTAGAAGAAGTCTTGATCATCGAGAGAAAGACAAATGAGAGGGATATTTTGACAGACCGGATCCTTTATTGTGGAGATGATTTATTAAGGGGTTTGAAGGTCATTACTTGCGTTTTTCAAAAATAAGATAGAAAAAAAAAATGATAAGATAATGTTCTCATAAATATTATGTGCTAGTATGTCATACCCTTCAACTTTCGCCGTGCTTTATGCTTAAATAGTATTTCCTTACAACGTATTTTTCTGTACAAGTATTTGTAGTATCCTACAAGTTATGCCCCGGTTACACATTCACGGATCGTCTCGCCGGATCCACTACGGATGGAAACTCTCGAATCACACCGGAATAGTCTATATCGGTGGTCCGCTACGGATGCACCACAGTATGACTATGGATATAGGGGCTGGTTGACAACGGGGAGTGATACGGATTGCTACGGTTCGGTACGGTTTAGTATGGAAAGACACGTGTCACGGCGTATGCACTGCGGATTAACAACGGTTCGCTACGATTTTAGTACGGGTTAGCACGAATTCGAACGGACTGGCACGGAGCGCCACGGACATGAACCACGAATGATGCCGGATCGTATCCGTGGCTAATCCGGCGTCCGATCCGTGAATGTGTGACCGGGGCATAAGGCGACAGATAACTGTTTCCTTAAAAAACGGAGAACTTGATAATTATCACCTTTTAAAAAATATAAGATTTGAGAAACGAAACCGTCACCCACACAATACTGCATCATAAATGCCCATATTAGTTACATTGTTATGTACCACATAACATAATAGTTCATATTTAATATTGCCGGCATATATTTTAATGACAGTCATGTTTTATATATAACAGTTCCGTAAAATCCTTGGAAAGTTTGATACATTTTGATATATGTTGCCTGCGCAGCATGGACACGAAGACATTTACGATAATTAATTTTGAATCATCTGATAGTTACATGTTATTACGAAATCGAAAACAGCCAATTTATCAATAGGGTCTTTTTGTCAGTGCCTAAGCTTCCGACTAGAGTTCAGAGTTCAAACTCCGGAATGGCCGTGCATTTCTCTTCTGCTACAGAGGTGCCATGTGTTGTAAAAAACGTTGCCTTCGGGGGCGAAGACGTAGAAAAAGGAGGAAGAATGTCGCGGAATTTGACTAGATCGATCACTGGCGACCAGGTAGCGCATCCGTCTAGAATTTCGGGAGGTCAATCCGGTTCGAGTCCCCGTCTGGTTTCCATTGTTTGATGGAGAAATAGCTAACTCTGTCAACGATATATAATCAAGAGAGGGAAAGTTAGGATGTGCTGTGACAATACTGGTGTAGCAGGACCGGACTGGGAGCATTCATCGGCGACCACGTAGCTCAGTTGGTAGAGCGTTCGTCTAGAGTTTGGGGAGACACGGGTTCGAATCCCGGTCTCGCCGTGCATTTCTTCCGCTCTTATTACATTGGTGTAAAAAATCGATAGTAAAACCGAATATAACCAGCGCGTGCGTGGCACTGATATATAAAGAAGCATACAATGCATTGTGACGTCATAGTTATAATGTCATCACGTGCTCTTTAATGGTGTGACGTCACTGTTGGTATGCTTCACAACCAGATTGCGGTAGTATTTGTATGGTCAAGCTTTCCGATCACATTGTTTTAAGCGTCGTCAGGGCGTCAGAACATAAACCGAACAAACAAAATATTTATATTGTAATTAGGTAAGTACGGCATAATTCCTTTACAAGTTCTTTTTTATCAATACCATCCCTGTCATTGTGTAAATCACTACAGTGTCTCTTACTCAAACTATGTTTGGTTTGTTTGTGTTTTATGTCCTATTAACAGCTATGGTCATTTAAGGGCGTTCCAGATTTTGGTGGTGGAGGAAAGCCGGAGTTCCCGGAGAAAAAACACCGACCTACGGACAGTACCTGGTGACTGCCCCACATAGGCCTCGAACCCGCGGCCCAGTGGTGGAGGACTAGTGGTAGCAGAATGTCAGACGCCTTAACCACTCGGCGTCTGACATTCTGCTACCACTAGCCTTCAAATTATGTATTGTTTGCCAAGATTTTGACGTTTTTGTGTCGTTATTAAAGATTATTTTTTAATTAATAGACATTTAAAACGAACCGTTCATTTTATCTACATGTCTGCAACACCCTTTTTATCCCTATTTTATGACTGTTTTTCCCTCTTGTGTTTTAGAGATTCAACATGGATAAAACATCATATGATGAATGGAAGGCAACACGAGAGGTTTTGGAGAAAGTAACGAGGTCCTTAGAGAAAACATTGAACAGTGGTAGGTTGGACACGAGGGATCGTTAGACAAGGGGAGGTAACAAAACAAATCATACTCGTATAACTGGTATTTCAACAGAAATGATCAACAATTATGATGATACTCATAATGTTGATTTTGGTGAAAAGGTATAGAAAAAAATGATATGCGTAATTTTTTCAATATTACACATTTTGAAAGATAGTTTCCAAATTGATGCAATTTTTGATAATCGGCCTTTACCGGGGATAACCCATAAAAACTATGAACATCATAGTGTATTTTCAATGAATTCTTTACAGGTATATAGTTTTAATATATGTAAAAGAGTTACAAAAAATACATTATCATACATGTTCTGACACCGTAGAAATTGACGTACACCATTTGAGGAGGCATTCAATAACTTCGCATTATAAATTAGAGACGGTGAAAAATGCCATACAATGACAGAAGAATTTCTTGTAAAATGACTAGATATATCAGTAGAAAAGGACTAAATATAGAAGTAAAAAGGACTAAATATAGAAAAAGGACTAGATATAGAAGTAAAAGGACTAGATATAGAAGTAAAAAGGACTAGATATAGAAGTAAAAAGGACTAGATATAGAAGTAAAAAGTACCAGATATATCAGTAAAAAGGACTAAATATAGAAAAAAGACTAGATATATCAATAAAAAGGACCAGATATATTGTAAAAAGGACTAAATATAGAAAAAGGACTATATATATCAGTAAAAAGGAGCAGATATAGAAAAAGGACTAGATATGTAAGTTAAAAGGACCAGATATAAAAGTAAAAAGGACTAGATATATCGGCGAAAACGGCTAGATATAAAGAATATGAGGCAAACTATGAATTCAAATATCCCGTCTCAGTGGACACCGATATTTTTTACAGTGTTTGTTCATGAATATATTTCATTTGACAATGAAGAGATCTATCAAAGAATATTTATATTGTTATATTTTGTAGCTGAATATCTACAGAGGGCCGGACAAGAGTATGTCGGGCGATACAGCCGTGCAACTAACCGTAGTGAACTGTCTGGTAAATATATTGTTAACATGTATATTTATATATCGCTCCATTTAATGTTAATAGCCGGTACAAAGATACACGGTATACAGACAATAGATAGGTACACGGTATACAGATGTATAGAGATACATGGTATACATATNAAAGGACTAGATATATCAGTAAAAAGGACCAGATATATCAGTAAAAAGGACTAAATATAGAAAAAGGACTAGATATATCAGTAAAAAGGACCAGATATAGAAAAAGGACTAGATATGTAAGTTAAAAGGACCAGATATAAAAGTAAAAAGGACTAGATATATCGGCGAAAACGGCTTGATATAAAGAATTTGAGGCAAACTATGAATTCAAATATCCCGTCTCAGTAGACACCGATACGTTGTACAGTGTTTGTTCATGAATATATTTCATTTGACAATGAAGAGATCTATCAAAGAATATTTATATTGTTATATTTTGTAGCTGAATATCTACAGAGGGCCGGACAAGAGTATGTCGGGCGATACAGCCGTGCAACTAACCGTAGTGAACCGTCTGGTAAATATATTGTTAACATGTATATTTAAATATCGCTCCATTTAATGTAAATATCCGGTACAAAGATACACGGTATACAGACAATATATAAGTACACGGTATACAGACAATATATAGGTACACTGTATACAGACAATATATAGGTACACGGTATACAGACAATATATAGGTACACGGTATACAGACAATATATAGGTACACGGTATACAGACAATATATAGGTACACGGTATACAGA